CTTTAATTGTTTTTAATACGAAATGCGCCGAACACTTCTTTAATAGCGCCCGCGCGATTGACCCATGGAGAGCAACAATCATACAGGCGGAGAACTGGGCGGAGTATTTGGGTGTTGAGGTGCTACCGAATTTAAAATTTGACACCGAAACCAATTAACACAACAACAAACGACTACTGGGATCAATGGGACTTTCGATTCCGAACAGGAGAAAGTGACAAGTTTGACTGCGTTTCAAGTAATCTCTCGTTATGTGATAGATGTTTTTGTCACAAAATCAAGGGAATAAACTTATATAAAGTACAGTCTGTTCAGAGGAAAGAACGACTTCCTTCTCGGGGTCCATGTTCTGGAAAGCTGTCCTCAGCGCTGCGCATGCCACGGCCCTCTCTGTGTTCTTCAGCTGTAGTGTACTTTGCCTGTCGGCGCGCCAAAGACCCCACCCACCGGCCGGGCGGTAAGATTTCATCAAAGACTACATTAACTCCGCCCCTATCATTGTAGCTTGCCGAACAGTCGAGTAGGAGTACATCTAGCTGGAATTTTCACGTCGTACTGGCTGGTGTAGCCCGCTACAAAGTAATATTCCTGTGGCATTTATCAAGATTTAAAAATATTTGTGATACGAAGTGAAACATGGTTAACAATTTCTGAACCTTTGAAACGACGTGGGCATAATCTTTGTTGAAGATTCCTGAGTTGAACTCAAGCCGGAAGTGTATTGGAAATGATGGCCATCAGTCGAGGCACAACTGTTATGTTATCACATGTTACGTTACGACGATCAAGAACGTTCACGGCTTGCGGACCATTTCAAATATTACCACTCATAAACCCTACAATTGTATGTGTACTTATATTTTTGCCGGGGTTCCACTGAGATCGGCGCCGGCTAGCTGGGGAACGATCCTGTCGGCATGACCGGCAAAGCGCCGGGCGTCATTGCCAAGACCTACATTTTCTTACCGTGGGTGACTTGACTTCTTCTTTTACCGCAACTTGGTGTCAATATCGACGATAGTCACAGGAAATATGTTCATTTATTGAAGTTTAACTTTATTTCCACTCGTCAATATTTTTATCAAAACATGCTATGGACGATCGATGTTCCAAGCTCACCGTGCTGGTGTTCCGCTATATTCCTGGGTCGTCCACGGATTTGTCGGCGGAAAACTCAAATAAAGTACGC